CATGGTGTCTGCAGCATTTACATTCCCACCAGCAATGTATGAGGGTTCCCATTTTTTGACAGTTGCCAATACTTATTTTCTAATTTTATAATTATTAAAGCTGTTCTAATGAATATGAAGTATCCTATGGCTTTGATTTGCATTTCCTTGATGACCAGTGATACTGAGTATATTTTCATGTGCTGTTACCTATTTCTAATCTTCAGATAAATGTCATTCATGTTCTTTGCTTATCTTTGTTGTTGAGCTGTTTTGTTTTCTAAAATTGCACCTTGCAGTTTGTACATTGGCTTAACTTTAAAACAAATGAATTATTTTGGATTAACTGGAATTCTGGAAAATGAATTTGTCAAATAATTTCATCAAACTATTCCTAGGAAAAGCATAATCCACACGGGGAGTTTACTATTGACAACTTGACAATCACCGTGTCTGATTTCTTTGGAGCTGGGACAGAGACGACAAGTACCACCCTGAGATATGCTCTCCTGCTCCTGCTCAAGCACCCGGAGGTCTCAGGTATGCCCAGCATGGTGGGAGGGGTGAATTTCAGAAAAGATGTTAGAAAGACACAGCAAGGACATTCCATCTTGTTTCTCTTAGAGAAATGTCATTATTAAAATACCTCTGACCTGCTTTGTTTTGCCAAGTTTAAAGAAGGGATAATAATGGGACATCTTTCTAAAATACAGGCTGATGTCTGAGAGGAGTGAAGACACTGTGGGCAGTAGCCAAAGCAATACAGTGCAGTCTGGATTTCCTGGCAGGCACACACCAGCATGGAGTGGCCAGGACTGCACAGTGGTTTTATTATGAGAAGGCTACTCACTTTAAACAGTGGGTATATTCCTCAGAGATCTCGCCTCATTCTGAAAATGCAGGGTTCTAATGGAAACTCTTCTTACTGAAGCATAAGTGAAAATCCTAGAGACTTACTTAGTGAGGCTGCCTGAGATCATTTCCAGTCTAGAAAGTGTCCTAATATTTGAGATTCACCAGCAATGTGGTCCTATTCAGGGTTAAGATATTGCATAAAGGAATTTTGTTATTTCAGAAGTCTGTTTCCAGAAAGGAGTTGGTTGCCAAAACAAGATCTTTTACAAAGCACTTTATGTTAGAAATATACCTTTTTTTAAAAATCCTCACCCGAGGATATTTTTCCATTGATTTTTAGAGAGAGTGGAAGCGAGAGGAAAAGACAGAGAGAAATATCGATGTGGGAGAAATACATCAATTGGTTGCCTCCTGCACTAGTCCTGCCCAGGGCGTGGGTCAGGGAGGAGCCTGCAACCAAGGTTCCTGCCCTTCACGACAGAAATTAAACCTGGGACCCTTCAGTCCGCAGGCCAATGCTCTATCCACTGAGCCAAACTGGCTAGGAGAGAAATATACCTTTATAGAGTTACGGTTATGCATAGCAGTTTAGAAACATACATTATATTTTTCCTGTGTTAAAATACCACTAAAATGGTTACAACCTATTGCAAATGAGACTTAGTCTTCTAAAACTGGATAAGAGGAGGTCAGGAAACAGACAACAAATCCTCAACAAATATCTGAAATGCAGAGAGCATGTAGAGGGGAGATAATGAACTCAGTAGAGAGGATGAAATTGTGACCTCAAGTGTCAGAAGAGGAAGTTCCATGAGGAGGAATCTTTGTGATGCTTAGGATATATTTCCAGAAGTGGGGACGCTAGGTCAAAAGGCAGTTCCATTGTTAATTTTTTGAGGAACCTCCATACTGTTTTCCACATTGGCTGCCCCAGTCTGCATTCCCACTGACAATGCACGAGGGTTCCCTTTCCTCCACATCCTTGCCAACACTTGTTTGTTAATTTGTTGATGATAGCCATTCTGACAGGTGTGAGCTGACACCTGGTTTTAATTTGCATCTCTCTGATGATTAGTGATGTTGGGCGTTATTTCATGTCTATTGTTCATCTGTATGTCCTCTTTGGAGAAGTGTCTATTCAGGTCCTTCGGTGCAATAAGCCAATCAATGAAAGACAAATACCAAATGATCTCACTTACTAGTATATGTGGAATCTAATGAACAAAATAAACTAACGAACAAAATAGAAACAGAGGCATGGATACATGGAACAGACTGACAGCTGACAGAGGGGAGGGGTTGGGGCAGTCTGGGTGAGGGGAGGGGTTTGGTTAGTTTGGGTGAAAAAGGTGAAGGGATTAGCCAAAGAACATATGCGCATACCCCATGGACACAGACAACAGTGTGGCGATAGCCAGAGGGAAGTGAGGGGCTAGAGCTGGGTGGAGGCAGGCAAAGGTAAAGGGAGGATGGGGGGTGGGGGGCGGAGATTGGGGACATCTGCAATAGTGTCAACAATAAAATCAAGTTTAAAAAATGTATTTTGTCCCTACATCCCTATAAGTTCTGGTATTTATTTATTTTTTTAAATTGATTTCAGAGAGGAAGGGAGAGGGAGAGAGAGATGGAAACATCAGTGATGAGAAAGAAGCATTGATTGACTGCCTCCTGCACGCCCCATACTGGGGGTTGAGCCCGCAACCCAGGCATATGCCATGACTAGGAATCAAACCATGACCTCCTGGTTCATAGGTCGATGTTCAACCACTGAGCCACGCTGGCTGTTTGTATAAGTTTTGGTATTTAGAAGTACCAGTGTCAAAGAAGATAGAAGCAGAAACAGGCTGAAAAGGTAGCTCTCCCGGCCCAAGTCCCTTTTTTATTTAAAAAAAAAATATTTTATTGACTTTTTACAGAGAGGAAGGGAGAGGGATAGAGAGTTAGAAACATCAACAGAAAGAAACATCGATCAGCTGCCTCCTGCACACTCCCCACTGGGGATGTGCCCGCAACCAAGGTACATGCCCTTGATCGGAATTGAACCTGGGACCCTTGAGTACGCAGGCTGATGTTCTATCCACTGAGCCAAACCAGTTAGGGCTAGAAATAAAATATTTGTAGAAACTTTCATCCCTTCCCCCAGTCTCTTTCCATATTATCTTTCCAGACTTTGCTAAGCAACTTCCCCATTCCTGATTTCTAGGATTTTAATCAAGGCTCGACTACATTCTTCCTGATCATCCTCCTTGGTCCTTACCCCTATATACCAGAATCCAGGAAAGAATATAGATTCAGCAGCCAGATTTTTAAAAACGCCAGAGAGTGAACAGGTCTGGAGGAAAGACCTCAATAGTTGCCATGCAGATAGAAAATTCCCTGACACGTGTATCAGAGAGAATGAAATAAAAGCATCCAACCCAAGACACAGAGTCATGAATTTCAGAACACGAGGATTAAAAAGAAAATTACAAAAACTTTCAGAGAGCTGCGCCGTGTCGTGTGTAAGGACTGGGATTCAGAACACCATCAGAATTCTAAAGAGCAACTATCAAACTGTACATTAATAAGAGTATATTCTCAGACCTGTACGTTTGACAAAACCTTTACACCCCACCCCCCTTTTCCTTTTTTCATCCAAATGTCCGTTTCCACGTCAGAGGAAGTCATGGGCTCAAGAAATCAGGAGGGCTCAAAGGAGAAGGAAATTGTCAGGGAGCTTGCTAGATGCCAGGCCTAGGAAATATCCACTTCAATATGATTAGGTGGATAAAGCAGGTATGAGGGGAGACACCAAGCAAAAAAAGAGAAATGATTGATTAACTGAGGTTTCCTAATAACGGGGAAATTGTTATTAGGAGTTAGAAGCATCTACCTCAGTATTTAGACATAATTCTAAATCGACAGTGCCCTCGGCGGTCCCGGGCCTGACTCTTGCTTCAACAGTGTTTGGACAGAACAGACCCAGGGACTCCCCTCCTTCCAGCCTCCGACCACCTTCCAGCGTCTTTTCCTGTCACCACCAACAGAGCCACCTGCGGGACCAGCCAACACACCGGGTGTTTTCCTACCTTAACTCCTTCTTACCAAACAACCATGAGCTCCCAAACCCGTCAGAATTATTCCACCGAGGGGGAGGCTACCATCAACCGCCTGGCCTGATCTGCAGGGCCCCCACCTACCTCTCTCTGGGCTTCTTGTTCTAACACGACGATGTGGCTCTCCAGGGCGTGGGCCATTTCTTCTGAGAGTTGGTGGAGAAGAAGCGCGAGGGCGCTGAGCAGCTCTTAAATTTGCAAAACCAGCGCAGTGGCCGCATTTTCTCCAGGACGTGCTGAGCCTCCCCAAGATGAGTGGGTGAAACTCAGGACACCAGGGAAGCTTCCATGGAAGCCGCCAGGGCCTTGGAGAGGCACC